TCGCCCCCCGGCTTCCCCGATTCGGCCGCTGCTGAAACTGACCAGCAGCAGCTGAATCAGGGATGCCTGGGGCAGAGCTGGACTATCGGAAGGGGGGCTATGAGGGGTCTGGAGTGGCATCCCCCCCCCACTCCAGACCCCTCATAGCCCCCCCTTCCGATGGTCCGGCATATATGATAATCCGGCACCCCCTGGGTCCTAAATGTGCCGGATTATCGGAAGTTTACTGTAGTTTCCTCCTGCCTGAAATGAACACCTTCACTGTATGTCAAGTCCTGGTGACCTGCTGAAGACGTTAACAACATAATTTATTAGCATACCATGCATACATATATTTCGCAGTGATTATCTAGTGGGCTTCTAGCTCTTGGGAGAGATATTGTATGCCTCTGTTCAATGAACACATCTCACATGTGGAATCTCTGTAAAACTATTAAGCGTTTGTTTTCCCTGCAAATGTTAAATATTTTCCATAGGAAACATAAGATCTTAAAATTCTGTTACAGAGAAACTCTTGCTACACAGTTGGATCTGGCTGAAACCAAAGCTGAGTCAGAGCAGTTGGCCCGAGGTATCCTGGAAGAACAGTATTTTGAACTGACTCAGGAAAGCAAGAAAGCAGCGTCAAGAAATAGACAAGAAACTACAGATAAGGACAACATTATAAGCCGGGTAAGTTGTTACTATTTAAACCTGTAAGAAGTGGTTTTGTTGTTTTTTAAAAAATGCAAACAATTATCTAAAAGTGCCCCCTCATAGCCCTCACTTCTCCCCAGTCCTCTCTGAGCTTGAATGCTATTTGCGATGCTCTGGAAACTCTGGGAGAAGCGAGGGAAGAATTGCTGAGTGCCGGGCCCCTAGCTTTTCCCCATGAGTGCTCCAACCACAGATTACTACAGATGCAGAATAGGGATGTTTCCAGATGAGGGAAATCCAGTTTATAGAGGCCCAACCTCTTCTTTTAAACTGTTCTTTCACTGCAGCTTCCTGCATATGTGTACTGCCTAACATAAGCCTCCAGTAGAATGTTAAGCAAACTAAAATGTGGTATTTTTCTTGCATGGTATTATGCACTTTACATCCTTATACTAAATTATTTGACATTACTTCATACATGTTCCATGTGCTGTAGCCATATGAAATAACCTTTAACTTTACAGAATGCCCCATTTTCATAAGGGACTATTTTAAATGACTGCATCAAGGTGGATTCTTAAGTACAAACTTCCAACCCATAAGTTGTCAACTTCAGATACTGTTGTTTTTCTAACACAGTCATTCAATATATTTCTGTAGATTTCAAGGAAAACTTGCTTACTGAACACAACTGTATTCTTCTTAGCATGTGTTGTATGGCATCCAGCAAAGTGATACTGATTGGGAGCTAATATAGGCAAATAATACAGGTTGGATCTACCTGGTCCGGCACCCTCAGGATCTGATCAATACTGAATGATGAAAGCGGGGCCTCTAGCCCTCCTGCCATCTGCCCAAAAGCTGCCACCAGCTCTGCTGCTGCTGGGACTGGAGCTCCATGTCTGGGGCTAGAGCTCCATGGTTGCCACCACAGAGCTCCCTTGCTATGGCTGGAAATACACAGCCGGTGCTGGCCCTACTACTGGGGCCAGAAGTCCCCACTGAGTCACCAGCCTCCCTTGCTACACTCCTGTCCTACTACCAGACCTCTATGTTCCTGGGCTCTGGTCCAGGAACGTCTGTTCTCTAGTTGCTGGACTAGAGGGTCCTACCTTAATTTTCCCTTACAGTTTATTCATAAATCCTGTGTGCACTGTTTCACAGAATCATAGAATTGGAAGGGACCTCTCAAGGTCATCAAGTCCAGTCACCTGCACTCATGGCAAAATACAAATCATTTCTTTTTAACCATATGTCTGTCTCTTTTCCAAGATATATAACACTACTCAAATGTAAAATGCATGGACTGAGAGTGATATTAAATTCTATAGCTATATCCTCTCTATTTATTTAGTTGTGGCTAGTTATATGTTTATTGTTTACACAGAAGTTCCTTAAAATGTAGTGAAAGCTGCTGCACCAAGTACACTGCAGTTCTGCTTAATTCCTTAAATTATGTTGATTATTGTTTATTGCCTTCTGAAAGTGTGTTCAACAGTTCATGGATCATAAAAGGAGACCTAGTCCTTTTCTCAGATATAGTTGTATATTCAATGTCTTTTTTGTGAAAGAAAAGGGGATCAGAAAGAAAATACAAAGTTGTACCTCCCTGATCTGGCAACCTTGGGACCTGACTGGTCCCAGACAAGGGAGTTTGCCAGACCCATGGGAGGTCAGAGAGAGGGAGGGCACCAGCCTCCCCACTGGGATCCTCTCCCCGAGGACGAAGGTTCTGTTGCTCCCAGTTCTGGCAGCCATGCTGGCTACATAGCCCCATGGCTACTGGCAAATCCTCCCTCCCCCAGTTCTGCAGCCCTGTAGCTTCAGGTGGCCCTGCTGGATGTGCGGACTCTGCTGCCCCATCAGTCCTGCAGACTGTGCTGCCCCATGGGCTTCAGCGGCCCTACGGACTGTGTAATCCTGTAGGCTCTGTTGTCCCCTGAGCTGTGCTGCCCCACTGGCTCTGTCAGCCTGCTTTGCTCCCTGCTTCTGAAACCTTCTATTGCTGGGGCTCTCTGATTCAGAAATGCCTGTGGTCCTGCCAGACCATGCTTGTTCCTAGACCAAAGAGTCCCAGACCATAGAGGTTCAACCTGTATCTAACTTTATGTACAGTTATGAAGCATGAACAGTTGAGTTAGAATCACCATTCTTAGATTGCATACTATGTGGAATAGCATTATTGATTTAAGAATATTTTAAAGAATAAATGCAGTTTTGAATATGAATAGCAAATGCTTTGTTTTAAAATGTGTTTGTTTTCATGTAGCTGGAAGAAACAAATAATGCATTAACCAATGATGTTGAGTTTCTAACAAAAGAAAATGCAGAGCTCGTTGACAAAAATAAAAAACAGGAAGAAGGTATGCTATGTTTTGAGTTTTCAGTGATGTTATGATGATATAGAGAATCATGTTTGCTGTTGCGACTTGAAAATCAGTATAACAGTTTTGTCCTTCAGTATTAAGGGCCTTAAAATCTTTCTGCCCTGTCAGCATAAAATTATAATTTCCTCCCTCTCATGTGATGGGGTACCCGGTGGTCCCCTTTCTTCTACTTAGGGATTTCAAGTGGAAACACCTATTGAGGGAGCCTGTATTGTTATGAGGATGAGAAAAGGCTATGGGGAGCTATGAGCTAATGAAAAGACTTGCCTGGACCTGCTGGTTTGTAGGCCAAATCCTCCGCCACATTTCATTTGTACACCAAGATTGCAAATCCCACCCTCTCCTATAAAGAACAGATTATGAGTACAAAGTATACGTAATACAAACTTTGTGCTTTTAGCTTAATTGTATATCTGAATATGTTCAACACGATATAGAATATAGAACACAGATTGGAAATAAACATTTTTTTATATTCCATATTCTAATCTTCATGATGGCACTTAAATATTAATGGAGTTTTGAAAATTTTAGTATGAATATTTAATGTTATGCCAGCGATGTTCATGACCGCATAATTAGGGCTGCATTTGAGTTTTTGTTTTGGCAAAACTTTTAAACCTTTCTTTTGTAAAAATCTCATAAAAATTGCAAAAATCAAAACAAAATATGAACTTCCAAGTGCTAGAAACAATATTTATGAGGTCCTTTGATTGTTCTCTTTTTTGGGATTGTTTATAAAAAAAAAAAAATGCCAGTACTGAATTGGTCTGAGATCAAGATAAAATTAAGTAAAGATAAGTATAAAGTACTACCCTTAAGAAGGAAAACTGAATATTAACCCGCTATGTAATTCAGTTTTGAGAGACTTAATATTGTTCCTGGGGTAAATCATAGGAGTGTCAGAAATAAATTCCAGGAGGAAATCATTTTGTTCTACCTTAGCATCAGTGAGACATCAGTTGGAGTTTTGTGTTTAGTTCTGGGCATCACATTTCAGCATTGGAAAACTTGGAGAGTCCAAAGGAGAGCAACAAAAATGACTGGATGTGGGGAACAATGGTAACTTTTTTTTCAAATTATGTTCGTGGCGCTCATGGGCTAAATCTGCCGCAAGGTTGAAGTTGGATATTAGGAAAAAAACATTCCATCTAATGGGTAGTAGGCTTCCAGGGAAGTTTGTGGAATGTCCATCACTGGAGTTTTTTAAGAATAGTGTAGATAAATACGTATCAGGGATATTCTAATATGTTTGGTCCTGCATCAGAGCTGGAGACTGGAATAGATCACCTTTTGAGGTTCTACATTTCCATTACTTTATATCATTAAATATGTGGGTTTTATGGTTACAAAATGTCTGTGTTTGTATGCAAAGTGGGGGGAACCCACTTACTGTGGAGAAATGAATTAACTTTAAAAATGATTTTCTTGTCATAAAATGAATATCTGAGAAAAGTAATGTTATTTTTGGACAGAATTTAGATTGAAGAAAGAAGAGGAAATCAACAGTATTAAAATCCATTATGAGAAGAATCTTCACACTGAAAGAACTCTTAAAACACAGGTATTAATTTTAAAGCATTTTATCTGAGCACTTCGACTTCATTGTGACATACCAGAAGTTTTCAAATTTAAACTTTCATTCCATCTGAAATCAGTCCTCCCAGCTCTTTGTGTCTTCGTGTAATTACTTCTCAGCCTATAGCTAGATAAAATTTGTATTAATACCTCTGTGCAATTCTTAAATTTCTATTGATGTAATTTAAAGCTAAAATCATAGGTCGTAATTGTGTAAATATGGTACTTGATTAAAGAATGTTGAGAGTTTACAGGATCAGACCCACAGAAGCAACATGTTCATAGGAGTTTTTTTTTTTTTTTGTAGTCCATGCATTCACTTCTCTAATTATGTTCTGGAAAATCCACACCTTTTTAAGCGACTCCGGTCATTAAAAAAAAATTCAAAATTGAAATGTTATATTTTTCTTTTCTCTTATTTCTTTTGTATTACCGAAATGTGTGTATTTTAGCAGTTTGACAGCTGCAGTAAGAAGGGGAGAGAAAGCCAGAGAATTCTATATGATAGCATGCTGAAATATAATGTGGATTTCTGTAATCCAAGTGATCTTTTTCTCTCTGACATTGTGATTCTGTACCAAGAGGAACTTTTATATTCTTTACAATAGCATTTCTCTTAATTCATTTACTTTGTGCAGGCTGTGAACAAATTGGCTGAGATAATGAATCGGAAAGATTTTAAAATAGACAGAAAGAAAGCTAACATGCAAGATTTGAGGAAAAAAGAAAAGGAAAATCGAAAGCTACAATTGGAGCTTAATCAAGAAAAAGAGAAATACAATCAGATGGTAGTGAAATACCAGAAGGAGCTCAATGAAATGCAAGCGGTAAAACCTTTTCCTTTTTCATGATAGTCTGTGATCCAATCCAAAGGGAAAGAAAGTACAGACATAAAAGTAACTGTTATGATATAGTTGCATGTACTAAAGGCACATTTTTTTTCTGTCCAAAACACTGTGACTATATTTTTCCAATACAGTAGAATCTACTTGATAGACCCATTTCATTTTAACAATTACCAGGGAACAAATCTGATACTATGCAGTTGACTGGTTGAACAGTGGAAAAAAATGTCCTAGATAATATGGTCTATTTTTTGCAAGCCAATTTACAGTAGTTTATGGGTACAAAGAGGTGTTTGCTGGTATAAAAATTCCCTTACCTGATCTTTAACTTGCTTTATTACAAATTAAAGAAATTTATTCTTGCTCTAATTTAGTTTTTAAATGGTTTGATTAATACTTGATATTTTAAGAAAAATGTTAATGACAATCAAAATATTTCTTAATGTAATGTATTCTCATGAGTCCTTAATAACTGGACTGATTGCTTAGTTAGTTATTTTAGTTTCAAACAAAAGCCCAAACCACTTCAGAGAATTCTATTATAGTCATACAATAGTAAAAGATTATGAATAGTAATGTTACCAGATTTGTAGATTTACTGAAGTATTGCAATCCATCATAATTCATTATTATTTTGTTTCCATATTCTCTTTGGACCGTATACTTATGGTGTATATGTAAATACAGCAACTAGTGGAAGAGTCAACATATAGGAATGAGCTTCAGATGCAATTGGATAGTAAAGAGAGTGATATAGAACAATTGCGTAGTAAAATTTTGGACCTTCAGCAAGGAATGGACTCTGCCAGTGTTGCTAGCCTCCAGTCAGATGAAACTGATGGAAACCTTACAGGTAAGAGAATTATGCATTTAGGCAATTTGTCTTTTGTAGATACATACACTTAGTGTTACAAATAATCACCTTTTAAAATGACTTTTCTCTTACCCTTTCTGCATCCCCTGTTCATTATTTTAACTATTGTATTTATTAGTTAGTTGAAGTCCTGAATGGGGAAAAAAAAATACAAATTGAACCTCTGAAATTCGGAACTCTGGTCTGGCAGATGTTGTGGGATCAGAGAACCCCAGCACCTGTCCCAGAGGAGTCCCGGGTGTGACAGCAGCAGGGCAGCCAGCAGCAGAAGTGGGGCAGCCGGCAAGCCCTGTCCCTGCAGAATCCTGTCCAGGTGGGACAAGTGAACCCTGTCCCTGGGGATCCCCAGTCGAGTGTGGCAGAAGCAGAGCAGCTGACAAGCCCCATCTCCGGGGATTCCTGGTTGGACGGCAGAGAAGCGGGGCTGCTACAGCTGATGAACTCTGTCTCCTGGGTGCCCCCACAGGTTGGAGTCCAAGCCCTTCAGGCTGGAGCCCAGTGGCAGTGGGGCTGGAGAGGAAAGCTAGCTGCAGGCAGGAGGAGCATTCTGGGAGGCTGGTGGCAGGGACTAACTAGTGATTTCATAGTTTTGCTAGCTATGAATACGGGACAGTTATGCCTTCATTCCATCTGAAATCAGTCCTCCCCAGTTAGAGCCATCACTTCCATTCAGTGAAAGAGACAAGTCGTACAGTTGTCATTATTGTTGCTACACTGTGACTATAATCGATGGAATATGTGTTGTAAATGAGGAATCTCAAATCTTTTCAAAATGCAGACCATATTGTAATGCAACACTTCTTTATGGACCACCTCCCTCTAGTTTACGTAGCATCACTGTGGCAATGACAAAAAAATTCTCTGAAAAGGTAATGTTAGGAAAATATTTAATACATATTTTCTAAATATTGTGATTCAGCAGATGAACTAACCATCTCTCTGCAGACCACAAATGTGTAGTTTAGACTGCAGTTTGAGAATCATTGTTGTAGACACTAATTACTTTTTCTGGTACTAGAACAGAATAACCAGATCTCTCTTATGCCAACATACAAGATCTGTTTTAGACACAGAACAGCATTCAGTAATAATATGCTGTGCTTTAAACTGCCCATAGGGCAAAGTTATCTAGATTATTTTCTATATACTGTGGTGTAATTTTCCTCATCAAATTAGTAATAATTATGTTTATCATGTGACTTTAAAATCTGAGTGCAAAGTATCAAAATACATCTAAATATCTGTAAATAAGGGTTGGACAATGTCATCAATAGCATTATAGACAGGAGGAAGAATGGTTCTTTGTTTACACATGACCATACAACCTCAGTGGATGAGTAATGTAAAAGAAAACATTTTAGGCATGTCTCTTTTCCTATTGATGCATTTTCTGTAGACCTTCAGTTTTTCCAAATCTTAAAATGGTTGAAATCTTGAATTTCAGGTATGTAACAATCGCTAGTGAATATTTTTAGATAGTAGCCTCCCTACCTTTGTCTGCATTGGTGTCGTCTTGTCTTAGTTAATTTTTGTGTGTATATGGGTGGTTTTTTTTTACTTTAAATGTTGATTTTAAATTATATACCTTTCCCAAGTGTTTTTAGTCAGTTATTGGAATGTCAGAATTATCACGATTGTTGTACCATGCACAATTCAAACTGTAAAATAGTAAGATTTTTGAAAACCCAAATGGTATGTGTGTGCTGTATTTGTTCCAGAACATTTTTGAGCTGTTGGTATATTTGATGTTATACCTCTCTCACATTTGCTGTTGGTGACTCCTACAGTCATTATATTCATGTAGGAACACGTCTCTCCTTGTTTTCAAACTCTAGGAAGTCGCTTGTTGTTACCAAACTGTCAGTAATATCCAAGTCTGTTCCAAGGAACTTTTATTCCTTGATGACATTTTTAATGTTATTTACTAAGCTATTGAAAAGGGATCAGAGATCTTCAGCTGGTAGCTTTCCAAATGTTACTAAATGACATCAAGCCTTTTGTTCAGCAATATCTACTATATGAAAAGAACCTCTGTTGAACCTGCCTACACAATTTCTGAGCTCTTACCATTTGAAATCATAATTTTCTCCCCTAATTGGTTAATATCTTAGAAATCTTGTGTAGTCTAGGAAGTGTGTCCTTCATCTGTTGAGTTCTAATTATATCCAGTCCAAAACTACCAAAAATACTCAACAGTTAGCTATAACCATGTACTTACTTGTGTTTCATCTACTCCAAACCAAGGAGGTTCCCCACCAGATTCCCCACAAAGTGGAGTCATAGCCCTTCTTATGTTGATAAAATCACAAGGACAAAATTATGGCAGTACTGAATACAAAAGGATTGTGAAGGATGAAACTATAACTGTGTTTAAAAAAAAGAATTAGATAAGTTCATGGAGCATAGGTCCATCAGTGGCTGCTAGTCAAGATGGTCAACTATGCAGCCCCATTCTCTGGATGTTCCTTCCCTCAGAATGCCGGATACTGAGACTAAGGGTATGTCTACACTTGCATCCTCTTCCGAGAAAGGGGTGCATATGAAGACATTTGAAATTGCAAATGAAGCCGGGGTTTAAATATCCTGTGCTTCATTTGCATATTCGTGTTATGGCGCTATTTCGAAATAACAGCTGCTGTTAAGACGCGGTTATTTCGAGAGAAAACCCTTCTTTCAAAATAAACCTTATTCCTCATACAATGAGGTTTACCAGTTATTTTGAGAGAAGGGTTTTCTCTCCAAGTAACTGTGTCTTAACAGCGTCTGTTATTTCAAAATGCCATTTCGAAATAGCGCCATAACGTGAATATGCAAATGAAGCGCGGGATATTTAAATCCCAGCTTCATTTGAAATTTCAACTGTCTTCATTTGCATCCCTCTCTCGAAAGAGGGTGCAAGTGTAGATATACCCTAAGAAACTTGATAATTGCCATGTTCCATTCATTCTCTTTGAAGCATTTGACTTCAGAAGATAGGCTACTGGGCTAGATGAACAATTGGTTTGATCCAGTATGACAATTTTTAGGTCATTATGTAAAGCACTCAACAAATGCCCGAAAGAAGGAAAATATTGCCTTCTATATGTTCCAGTCAGGCCACACCATCAAGTGTTTCTGAGGTTTACACTGGCTTCTATAGACAATCAGTATAAAGCACTGTCATTGGTCTTTCAGCTACCCCTCACTCTTTATAGAAGTGCTAGTGACCGTTGTTGCCACACTTCACTACCCAGGGATCCACTTTGTTCCTAGATGTTACAGCAGACTTCCGATAATCCGGCACCGTTGGGACCCAGGGGGTGTCGGATTATTGGATATGCCGGAGTATCAGGAGGTACTCCGGCGGGGGGGGAGCACTGTCATTGGTCTTTCAGCTACCCCTCACTCTTTATAGAAGTGCTAGTGACCGTTGTTGCCACACTTCACTACCCAGGGATCCACTTTGTTCCTAGATGTTACAGCAGACTTCCGATAATCCGGCACCGTTGGGACCCAGGGGGTGTCGGATTATTGGATATGCCGGAGTATCAGGAGGTACTCCGGCGGGGGGGGGGCTTAACAGCTGGCTAGGACCCGATCTCCCTCTCCCTCCCCTCTCCTTTCCCCTTAGCTGAAGCAAAACACTTTTCTCCATGCTGTAACCTGATCCCTTCCCCCCTCCAACCTTATGTTTGGTCTGGGTATAGCCCGCATGTGCGCTGAGCAGCGAGCTTTTTAATCAGCTGGATGGGGCCAGGTTGGTCCCCCAGCGCTGCTCAGGTGAGGGGCGGCGCTGCGGGACCAATCTGGCAGCACCCCAGCTGCTCTGCTCCGCACCGCTTCCACAGGTCCACAGCTGGTCAGTTTCAGCAGCGGCAGCAGAGGACTTGAGGAAGCGGTGCGGAGCAGTCCCAATTGTCCGGCTGGCCAGAGCACTTCCGGGTTCCAATAGGTGCCGGACTGTTGGGAGTGCCGGACCACTGGATGCTGGACAATTGGAGTTTTACTGTACTTTTATGATACGTTCTCTACTTCTAAAACTATACTTAATTATAATATAGATTTTCCATGATGAATATCCATTGTTATTTAAACTCAGTTGAAAGCAAGACCATGTTTCATTACTATTCAGTTCTACTCATATTTTTAAAGCTGCATCCCAAACAGTTTAGATTTAGAACCTCAGAAAGCTAGAGTTTTCTGTAGTGATAGCCAGAATGAAGCAACAAAACATTAAGGTCAGTATGGGAAACCTCAGTTCTTTTCAGCGTTCAAAATAATGAATTTTTCTTTCAGTAAATGTGTTGTAGGAAAATACATTATCAAAATACTCATCAGAAAATTGTCCTATGAAAAACAAATAAAATGTTTGTTTCTTATTCTTTATATCTAGTTGATTCTTCCTGCATTCCTTATTTATTTATCTTCTATTCTTATCTTCTGTGAGTAATGGGACACTTGCGTACCTTTGCTTGCTTTTTTCTGCACTCTCTTTTTATATTTTGTAAATTATGGCTCTGGTTTGTTTCATTTGCAGCATATTCCTGCTAAATATTTTCATATAGCCAATTTGAATATTAAATTGTGTTTATCTCCCATTTTTGCTGCAACAAATTTTCAAACCAAAGCATCCTTTTCTGGCTTTAACTTTTTTTTTTTTTAAACATAGTGTTAGATATTAGCCTTCTAGAAAACAGCTTGACATTTTTTCTGCAATAGCTGTGTGAAAATAAAATGTTAGTTTGTGATGAAGCATGAAATATAAATGCTTATATCCTTGTTTTATTTAGCTATTCTTTTAATTCATGCTTTGCTGATCTTTTGGGTAATTGCCTATGGCCGCATGAAGGCAAGTGCGCTTTGTTAAAGTATTTTGTTTTTTTATAATATGTTAAAAGTCTATTTAATTTGCATGTTTTTTAAACCAGAATCAAGAATTGAGGGTTGGCTTTCCATACCAAACAAAGGAAATATAAAACGACATGGCTGGAAAAAGCAGGTATGAAAAGATTCCCTTCATTCCCACCCTGCCATCCCTGAATAGTTCTTTAAGCATACATCAACATTAATATTGACAG